CAGATCACCACCCGGCTCTAGAATTTCCCCAAAGACAATGTCCCTCCAAATCCCAAATACAGTCTCTGGAACACAGCTAACTCATTATGTTTGTTGAATAAACAGATGAGAAAGAGATACTAGAGCCCTAGAGATTAGGATGAAACCATTAATAAGAGGGCAAAGTGTTTAACTCTTCCAAATTATACTTGTGCAGAGACAAAATGTATAAAAATAAGATATCATCTTTTTATTTTTTTTAAGACATGGTCTCTCTACAGAGTCCAGGCTGGCCTCAAACTTCCAATCCCTCTGCCTTAGCTTTCTGAGTGCTAGGATTTACAGGGTGTGCACCAAAATGGTCAGCTAACTTTTAATTGTTACGGGGAGTTTATTTGGGGGCCTTGGGGCACACACCTGTAATCCCACTCAGGAAACTATATCAAGTTTGAACGTGACCCACCCTGGACTATACACAGTGAGTTATAGGACAGCCAGGGCCACACAGCAAAAACCTGTCTCAAAAACTAATGAGCAGGGGCTAGTGACATGGCTCAGCAGATAACACTGTCTGCTGCCTGGCTGCCTGGCTGCCTGAGTTCCATTCACAGGACTCACTAGGTGGAAGGAATGAACTGATTCCTGCAAATTGTCTTCCGACCTTCACTGGTGTGTTGTGGCATATGTGCCCTACTCCTACAAACAAATGTAATTTTAAAATAAGATAAAAAAAACAGAGTCTGGGGAGGCGGCCTTGCTGTGCACGCAGGACCTGAATCAAGTCCCCAGCACCATGTTAAACCTGGGCCTGTGCTCCTAGCACTGTGGAGGCAGAGGCAGGTGGATCTCTGTGAGGTCGAGGCCAGCCTGGTCTGCAAAGGGAGTCCAGTACAGCCAGGGCTCTGTGACGAAGAGAAATTCTGTCTTGAAAACAAAACAGAACAAAACCTGGGCATGGCTGTGTGTGCCTGTAATCTTAGTATTAGGGTGCAGACACAGGTGATCCCGGAGGGTCACTGGCCACCAGCCTAGCCATAATGGTGAGTGTCAGATTCAGAAAGAGACTGTCTCAAGTGAATAGTGGCCAGCAATGGAGGAAGACACAAACATCTCCTTTGGCCTCTGTGTGTATGTGTGAGGTTATATGCATACAGATGTGCACAGACACATGTGTACACTATGTACATTCCCACTTCCCAAATAAAAGTTAAAAACAAAAGTAGTTTATTGTGTGCCTGCTAGTGTGATGCACAGTTTATGCACAGTATCCCATGTAACAGATACAACAATCATAGGAGTTAAAACTTGATGTTCTCACTTCATAAATGAGGAAACCAAGACTCAGAGCAGTGTAGTCGTCTGCCCAGTCACATAGCTATGAAACAGCGAACACAGTTTAAAACCCAAGAGGCTCTGACTGCAAACCCATACCCAAAGTGACCAAGGAACTGCACCAGACCCTCCTCATAGCGTCCTCGTGGCCTCCTCATTCTGCATTTGTCAGAGCGTTTTCAAGTAGAGCTAGCCTTTCATCACCCCCATTTCAGGAGTGGCTCTTCTCTAAATCCTCCCAGAGGGAGTGAGGCACCCTCCCCCCATCACTTGCCAGGTAATTTACACCAGCTAATGGCAAAGCTTCAGAAGCTCAATGACCTGTTCCATTAGGAATGCCCCTGCAAAATCTCTCCACCTCTGAGATGCTCTCTCCCAGCCCTGCAAGCTTCACACTCCTGCTAGCCTTCTCCAGAGGCTTTCTCCACAGAGTCCCACAGCTGGGGCACCATGCCGAATTTGACCCCAGTCTGAGCCTTCCATCATCAGTCTGTCTATTGGCTCAGGAAAGGTCCCAGCACCTCACTATGGCTTTCCATCACACGTGCTGACTGATGTTAATGGAGATCATGAGATTAGGAGTCCAGAGACCTGCTCAGCTATCAAGAAGGCACTTGGTGGAACCCAAACTTCAAGTACTAGGCCCTATCGTATGGTGTCACCCTTGGGGACTGTTGTCATGGTAATGCTTGAGAGACACTAGCCACAGTGAACATTGCCTCAGCTCTGCATTTTCCTTTATGACACTCCTCAAAGCCACAGAGACCCTTGTTTTCCCTTCAGAGCTCACAGGACCCTCAAAGTCATGATGGTGGCACATGCTTGCATTCCCAGCACTTGGGAGGTAGAGGCAGGTGGATCTCAGGGAGTTCCAGGCCAGCTTGGTCTACAAAGTGAGTTCCAGGACAGCCATGGCTACACAGAGAAACCCTGTCTCAAAACACACACACAAAACAAAACAAAAACAGAAATCACTTAACTTTTGGGGGACCTGAGGAAAAAAGCTTTGGACAGTTGAAAATGGGAGGAGAGAGAGAGAGAGAGAGAGAGAGAGATTTTGATTGATTGATTCCTTGCTGTCACCCCTCCCTCACACCTGGCACAGATGTAGTGGCCCAGGCTAGAACAAAGATAAGAAAAGACAGAGAGACACTTAAATGAGTTCACTGAAAAAGTCAGACTGATTCTAAGTGCAAAAAGAGCAAACCAAGACAACACCACACACAGGCTAGAGTGTGCCCTGGACCCTTCTACTCAGGACGTTAACTTTGTTGATTCCACTCTTTACATTCCTGAGAGGAGTCAGAGAGTTGAGGCAAAAGACAAGACCTACAGAGCCCTCTCTCCATCTTGCTGCCCTGCCTTCTGCAAGCCGCATGCAGCCCAGGATCAGAAGGGCCTCTGAAGCCAGAGCAACTGCAGTGCTGAGAGAAGGGTTAGCCATCACAGGAGGGAGCAGGGGTTGCTGGCTCTGGTGAGCTATCCTCTCCCACTCAATCCCAGCTTGTCTTCCTTCACCTTCCCAGACATTCTGAAGTGGCCTCTTCCTTTGATCCTCAGCAACTCCCTACATACTGGCTCCCAAAGAGAGCTAAAGAAGAAAACAAGAAAAAGACAGGAGTTGCCACTGCCCTACTGGAACCTCCAAGGATCGCCTCAAAAATCATATAGCCATCCTTCTGCTGAGTGAAACTGAAAGTCCAGAAAGCAAGCAGCTCTAAGGATGCTGCCTGAGACAAAATGGCCCCCTGGTGTAAGAGATTAACAGGAAGCCTTGGGCAAGGGAAGATCCTGAAAGAGAGAAAGATATAGCCTACAAGTACTAGCAGGAGAGATAAGAGGAGACCAGCGGAGCTGAGATAGAATCTGCATTACCAGGGGTATTGGGCTTCTTTTCACCCCTACCCTCTCCCATCTCCTGGTGTGGCACTGGCTAGGACCCATCCCACACACGAGGATGGCCCACAGAGCCTATAGGAGCCCACCTTCGCATAACGGATGAATCTGGAACAAGAAGTTAGCTTGAAAGTGGACCCCTAGTAGATCTGCTTCCAGTGCCCACCCCCTCTTGGCTTTCAGTCTTTACAACTTAAAGGGCCTCAAACTGGAAATCAGGTTAGTGTGTGTGTATGTGTGTGTGTGTGTAGGGGGGTGATCAGGACTTTCTTTTGACCTGGACACAGTGACCTAGTGTAAAGCCTAGGGTCCCTAAGGCAAAACAAACAGCGGCACCCTCCTTGCGGCAAATGCATACACACTGCAAAAGCACCTACTGAGTTTACTATGTGAGTGAGAATATGACCGGCTCTCGGGGTCGGAGCTTAGGGCTTTCTCAAAGGCATGTTTACAGAAGGCCCTATTTTCTGTAACTCAGAAGGCCCAGGTGTCTCCTTTCCAGGCGCTTTATGCCAAGCACTGTGGAGCAGGACACACAGGAAGCACCCTGACCTTGAGGACTGCCCTTATAGATGCCCCTCCCTCCTGAAAATGACAATGGCTTCTTGGCTCACTACCCCCAAAGCCATCCAGAACTAGACCCCAGAGCCTCTGCCCCACTCACAGCCTGAAGGTCCTTAACACCCTAAGAAAGGTGGAAGGGGCATGATCTAGAGTCCCCTTAGGCCATCACAGATAACAGTCTGGGACAGAAGTCTGGAGAGGCAAGGTGGCATAAAGGGAAAACATGTGAGTTTTGGAGCCACAGACTTCAGTTCATGTCTGTAGGCTGAACAGATCTATGGATTCTCAGCATGACCTTGAGAAAGTCATTCAACTTCCTTGGACCTCAATCTCCTCATCTGCAAAATGGAAATATGAACACTGCTTACTTCAGACTGCAGTCTTGAGAATTCATTCCTAAGCACAGAAAACCAAGTACACAGTAAGTATTAATTCTCCGGATGGTCTCCATGGGAAGGGCTGCCATGACGAGGGAGCACTCAATACTACATTTTATCGAATCTTCAAGACTGAGATGAATAGCAAGGATGAACAGATTCAGGGTTTGGGCATTTTGACTTGGGAGGGTTTAGGGAGTCTGAAATCCTCTTGATACTATACTTGGGACAGAAAGGCAGACATGCCCTTAGGATTCTAGAAGCTAACTCCCTAACTGGGTGTGGCATCCATGTATTTCTTTCCCAGAAAACCTTTCATTAGACTTGTGCCCCCTTCCCCCACAAGTCCAGGCAGCAACTACTTGAGATGATGATGAAGGGCTGGTCCTTGATCCCACTCCCACTCATTCATCTACAGGGACCCTAGACTTTGCATTTCTGGTCTAGCCCATCCACTCACCTTCCCCTCCTTTCGTGAAGGTTGGGGTAGAGATGCGAGCCAATAACAAAGGGAAAACGCTGTTTCTCTAGGGGAGAGGGAAAACATCACAAAAGCATGGAACTGGCTCTAAGAAGTGGGAACACTCCAAGAGAGTAGCAAAGACAACTTGGGGCTCCTGGTGACTGGGAATGAGCTCCCTCTCACTCTGCAGAGACTTGGCTGCAGGCCTAGGCAGGCCACACCCAGCCATCCTGATGCAGGGGAGAGGAGGGGCTGCAGCGGGCTGGGAGGATGGAGGATGAGCAGCCGGGAGCCGCTGCAGAATGACAGGCGGAGGGTCTAAGTCCCGGGGGTGAAAATATTTTTGCACCCCGACCCCTCCTCTAATTTCGTTCGGATGTAGCACTCACCCCAATAATGACGCTGTCGTCCCCTTGGAAAATGGGGATGAACTTGTCCCCCCTCAGAATCTCGGCCTGGTTCAGGGGCCGAAATCGGCAAAGCACCTTGATGCTGCATTCGTTGTTGGTCTCCGCCATGGTGGTCACCGAGGAGGGGCTCGGGCGCGTCTCCGGCTGCAAGGAGTAGCGTGTGCGCCGGAGGGAAGGAGCGCTGAGCTGGGATGGAGGCGGAGGACAGGTGGTCTGTCGCTGGGGCCGAGGGAGCAGCTGAGACGCCCCGGCGAAGGTGGGTCTCCTGCGGCACTGGATGCGGGCGACCTGGGCGTCTGGTCCTCTCGCCGCGCTGTGCCTCTCCGCCCCTCGCGCTGCAGCCGCGCTGCGGGCCTGGGCGGGGCGCGCAGGAGCCGCGGAGGCGGGGTTTCCTTCTCGGTACTTGATCCTCTGGACCTCGACCACCGGAGGTGGAGTATGGCCTCTGCTCACCTGGTTCCTCGATCTTAAGGCTGGCGGATAACCATGTCCTCACCCCTTACCCACTCGGCTACACGCGACCCAGTTGTTCCTCCTCAGACTCCACCTACAGGGACGGAGAAGGGGACTAAGGTGGGCCTGTCGCCTGCCTGGGGAAGAGCAGCAACGGGCCTTTCATTGCCTTTATTCCAGAACATTTCCTAAATCCATTACACCCCTCTTTTCATATTTAAATTACACTGGTGGTTCTCCCTCTCCTAGCCTCCCTCTCCTAGCCCCTCTCTTCTCCTCAGTCAGACGTACAATGAGCCAGTTAGCGTTCACGGGTCTGGAAGTGGTGTCCAGGTACCATGCCGTGAAGAAGTGGCAGGAAAGTCTAGCCTACTCCGCTCCCTTTCTTCACAGAGAGTGCTACCGTCTGGTGATAAAGCAGGTCCCTAAGTAGAGTGAAAGCCAAGCTATCTTCTAGGCCATCAGCATTCACAGGCAGTTGGAGTTCTCAGCCTCAACGAGGCCTTTAAGGTCGGGACTGGGATACAGTCAGGCAGGAGTAGCTTTTGCAAGAGAAAGGGAGTCTGACAGCCTGAGGCAAGGGGTGGTGGGAACAAAGGGCCAGAGGTACTTACTGTATGAGGATCTTCCAGGGCAAACAGGTACATTTGGGTTTCAGATAGCTGTGTGTATTTTCTGCTCTGGTTACCTTTGGATAGAGTCCCCAGTACTTTTCTCAGGCCATTCTTATCCTAATTTCCTGATCAGGAGAAAAAGAAAAGAAAGAACGAAGGAAAGAAAGAAAGAAAGGAAAAAGACAAAGCGCCAAACCCACAGAGTGCTTGTCCTTTCTCCAGCTGCAGCCCCAAAGAGAAACATCGAGGGTTGGTCAAATTGATTCTGCTCAATGTCACAGCTTCTGCTAGCCAGCAGATAGCTGGACTGCCGGAGTTGAGGTTTTAGCCAAGGGGAGGAGTGGGGTGATGAGAGAAGGCAGGAGGGGTGGAGGCCTTCAATCAGAAGTTGGCCAGTGTCTAGGGTCAGGTAAGCACTATGGGGCAAGGGTGAGTGGGTGGTGGACTGGCCACACAAGCCCTAACTGCCAGAAATCACATGCTCCTTAAGGGGACCAAAGGAAAGGAGTCCCAAGGTGCATAGGAGACCTCAGGATCATGGCCACAGAGGCTGAGGCTTGGGCAGAAGCCAGTAATGAGAATGACAGCAAGTTCCTAGCTCAGGAAGTCCATACTCAGTTGCTTGGCACGAGCTCTGAGGTTGCAGCATTTTGCAAGCTCAGGAAATATACAGTGCCTAGTCTATGGAGGTAGAAAGAAGGCAGCCTTAGTGAAGTTGTTTCAGCACGCCACTCCATATAGCCTCACTGGCCAGAGACAAGAGTTCAGTGCACATGCACACACACACCCCAGAAAGGTTCCTGTGCAGCTGAGGCAGCTAATCTTCAACTTTCTTTTCTTTGGATTTTTGGCATGGGTTCTGGGGGTTTCTCTTTATAGCTCAAGCTAGCCTGTCTTGCATTCCTCCTGCCTCAGCCTCCCAAGTGCTGTTAATATATGTGTGCACCACCAGGTCTGGCTTGAGAACTTCCCTCTTATCTTGAGTATGTCCTTTTACTTCTCTATTGATAGCAATAATCAATAATACATAGTGGATTTTCTATCTGTGTGCCTCCCGCAACCCTTCCTCCTCTTCTGTTGTTGTCTTGAAGCAGGGTCTTTCTATGTAGCTCCAGCTGTCCTAGAACTCACTACGTAGACTAGGCTGGCCTTGAACTCACAGAGTTCTGCCTGTCTCTGCCTCCTGAGGGCTGAAGTTAAAAGCACTTGCCACCACACCCAGCCTTTTCTTCTGGTTTAAAAATGGCTCAGTGATGCTGGGCAGTGATGGTGCACACATTTAATCCCAGCCCATGGGAGGCAGAGGCAGGTGAATATCTGTGAGTTCAAGGCCAGCCTGGTCTACAGAGTGAATTCCAGGACAGTAAAGGATACACAGAGAAACACTGTTTTGAACAACAAAACAAAACAGCACCAAAAATGGGTCAGTGAGATGGCCAAGCAGGTAAAAGGGCTTGTCAACAAACCATGAACTGAGGACCCTCATGGTGGGAAGAAAAAAAACAGATGAATAACAGTTGTCCTCTGATCACCACACTCATGCACATGCACACACACACACACACACACACACACACACACACACCACACACAAATAAAGTCAATAAAATAAAATTAAATTTGGAGCCTCTGTTTTCATGTATTTACTTGGCAAAGTGAAAAGAGTAGCTATACTATATCTATCTGCAACAAAGGTTTGTTGTTGGCCTGGACACAGAGCTACTATATGCAAGGGCCTGAGTTCAATTCCCAGCACTGAAAAGTGAGTTCCATGCCACCCTGGGCTACAGTTTGAGACCTTATGTAAACTTCTTCCTCCTAATTTCTGGGAACTATTAATGAAGTAATGACTATCATGGAAGTTCAATTAGACTGTGAGTTATCCATCTTCCACTTAAGATTTCCAAATTTTGAAAAGATAAAAAAAAAACATAAATAGTATGCCCAGATAAATTTGAATTTCAGATTATATCACAAATATAACAAGAAGCATGCTTATACTAAAAGTAGTTAGTTGTTTACCTGAAATTCAATTTTTAAAAAGAATTACTATTATTTCATGTGTATGGGTGTTTTTCGTACATTATGTCTGTGTACCACGGGTTATGTCTGGTCCCCTCGGCGGCCAGAAGAGGGCAATGGATCAACTGGTACAGGAGCTATAAATGTTTGTGAGCCACCATGTGGGTGCTGGAGATAGAACCCAGGTCCGTTTCAAGAGCAGCCAGTGCTCTTAACTGATGAGACATGTCTCTAGCTCCTGAAATTAAAATTTAACTAGGGGCCTTCTATTTTTGTCCAGCAGATTCACTTTTTCATTCCTTACATTTTTACTAAATTTTGCTGTTATGTGATTTCATCTAGTCAATTTCTAGGTTTTCTAAAACAGGAGTTCTGAAATTTCTTTCACAAACTATTAAAAATGGGAGAAAATAAATTGTATGAAATAGTTCCCTAACAGTCTTACTGTGCTCCCAGCCCTAGCCCCAGAGGACCAGAACTACATATCCCACGATGCTAGAGGGCGTCTCCTCGCCATTACCTCATTCTCCGTCGCGCGCACCAATCCCAGCCTGTCTAGGGGTGTGGTAGCCGGCTGTCCTCGCGACTCCTGCCGTCCCCTCCTGCCGGCCCCCGCCTGTCGCGAGATTTCCTGCTCTTCCGCCGCTCCCTTTACCGTCGCCTTAGCTGGGGACCCGGACCCAGCCTCTCCCCCACCCGATCACCGGCCCCGACTCCACCGAGGCCTCCGTCCCCCCGCCTCGCCGCCGCCATGGCGGACCCTAAGTACGCCGACCTCCCCGGCATTGTGAGTACAGAGCTGGGCCCGGCTCCCCAGACCGCGCCCCCGACCTCCCGAGGACGGCCAACAGACACCAACCCACGACCCCTCCTTCTGGGAGCCCCCCACCCCCCGCCCCGGGGGTTAGCGCGGCTCGCCCTTAGCCGGCAGCTGCACCTTCTGTACTCCAGACCCGAATAGGTCGGGCGGTAGCACTTTGCGTCTGGCTCCCTTTCTGGCAATAGCCGGTTTCTCCGCCCAGAAATCGCCTCCGGTTGCTTGCTGCTTGGACCCGAGTGTTTCTACCATCCATGTCAACACTGCCCTTGTCGCCCCAAATTTCTCGATTGCCCGCCCCCGCATCCTTATTCTAGCCATGCTCACTAGGCCACAAGATGATGGTCTTCATCTTGCCAGGGAAGAGGTTGCTATTGTGGAAACCTTGTGCCAGTGGGGAGCTCGGTGCATTGGGAGCACCTGCGCCCACTCCACATGCATTTACCCTCCGTTTGTCTGCATCCTCAGGGTTGGAGGGCTGTCGCATGAGACCTTGAGAGCTAAGGTCTTGAGTCCCTCTCAACCCTGTAGCAGTGGAGTGAGGGCCTAACTAAAGGAACCCTCACCAGATGAGGACAGAACAATTACCAGGGACCTGGCCTCTCAGCCATGTCCAGGATGACATCTTTCTTTTCACACTAGTCATTTATCCCAGCTCCCACTTTGTACCTGTGGTCATCCCACTGAGCTATGGGGACTGACATGCTGGGGAAGTGTGGAACCCACAGAATAATAGAATTACAGTCTGGTTTTTCCATTAGCTTGTTCAGAGGAGGTGGGAAAAGAGGTGAATGCTGGGTAGTGAGACTGGATGGTCACGGCTTCTCCCTGCAGGCCAGGAACGAGCCAGATGTTTATGAGACCAGCGACCTCCCTGAGGATGATCAAGCAGAGTTTGATGCGGTAAGACCATGTGCTGCCTCAGGATCCCCCTGGACTCTTACTTCTCTCCCCCAGATATAGGTCCTTTTCCTTCTCCGGCAAGCCACAAAAATAAGTGGGTATGCCAACCCCAGCCTGGGTGGTATGTAGGTCTTGGGGCTTTCAAAGGCCTTGCTGAGTTGGCGGCCACCAACACACAATGCCAGAAAGAAGAGGCAAGCCAGTGAGATTACAGGTAACAAGACCTGTTGGTAAAACCCAAGTCTTAAATACAATCTAAATATCTCAAGATAGTTACATTCTAAACTAGTGTTAATTAGACCCCTGGGTTCTAATCCATGCATTGAGGTATAAAGCTTGAACATTAAGAAATTATTGAGATTGGAGCAAGCCCTTTTGTTTTCTAAGGTATTTCACTCACTACATTCTTACTAGTAAGTACCAAGAACTTGAGCTATAGTAGCCATTAGGTGGGGTGGAAGCAAATGACTTGGAGACTTCAGAAAAATAAGAGGCCTGGTCAGACCAAAATAATTTTGAAGAAAAACATAAATGTAATCAGTAGAAACGAGATGGTGGTCATACATTAGGTCTGCCGTGTGAGCTCTGAGAAATTGGTGGGGACACACTTTAACCAGAAAGGGAATCATTTAGCATCACTTAACAGAATGTTTATTCTGTTTTAATTTTTGCCTGGTGCAGAGGAAGAGACACTCTGCCCCTAAGGAGCCCCTAACTAGTGTGACAGTTAGGATGCATACAGGAAATACAGGGGAGAGTTAGGATACGTGTAGATAACGTAAGAAAAAGCAATGACATTGGGCTCACCTTGATGCTTTGAGGTATCAGTGAGGTGGGGTCAGAAATCATGGGGACCTTCTTAGCAGGCCCAGTACATGTGTCTGTCAGTCCTGTGCCCATTTCTGTGGGGCTGGTTAGTTCTGGGGAATGTTGTTGCTGGCTTATAATGACATGGCTTGGCGTACTCACTTATTCCTTATTTTGTTCTTCCATGTGGAAGTGCTTCCTACATTGTAGGGAGTAACTTCCCTGTCCCTTCTCTCAACAGTGTGTTCCTTGTAGCTTCTCTATTTGCTGGCATGTCAGTCTACCGCTCCCTCTTCCCCTAAGCTTAAGTATCTGGAGATAATGCAGATGATGTCATTGCCCCAGTATCTAAATGTGAGCCTGTCACTTCAAGGGATGTCTTAGTTAACTCTGTCCTCGTAGCTTAGCAGAGTATAAGGTGAGGAATGCCTGAACTACATTCATTCAAAGGTTGCTCAAAACCTCTGCCTATAAAATATGAAGCCTGGAGAGAGAGAGAGAGAGAGAGAGAGAGAGAGAGAGAGAGACTAGGACCTTGTTTTTTTTGTCACTTTCTGTGATGCAACTGAGTCTCCAAACAAATGCATCATCATTTCCTTTTTGGAGGTGCATAGGTAGCTCTTAATAAAAAGAAGATGGTGCCCATTTTAGGCATGATGGAGCCTGAATATAAAGTTCTGATTGGCCCTTTTTCCTTACTGAGCCTGAGCCATTTCTTGATATAGCAAGCAATGAGCATGACATGGAGAGTTTGTTTCCTCTAGCACATTACCCAGGAAGCATCAGGGAGGGAGCCTGGAAGTTGGATGGTAAGCCAGGTGATTTGGAGCTGCTGTCAGCACTGTTTGGCTCAGCTAGCTTGTTAGAATGGATCAGATTGCCTGTGGAGACCTTCAGCACCTTAGGAGCCCTGAGAGCAAACTTACTTCCTGCTGTCAGCTAATGTCTCTGGCCCCTATATGTCCCTGTGGGCCTTAGGAAGGCAGCTTTCGGGAACTCAGCTGCCTGACAGCCCTGCTGCTCAGAATACTGACGTAAATGTGCAATTTGAGCAGTGGCATTATATGCCTTGCCAATGCAGAAACATTGTGGCTGTGAAGGCTGGGAGCCTGTCTGCTTATCTCCTGTTGCTGAACCATGAGGTCTTTCGTCATCGCTGTAATCTTCAAATCGTTCTCAACTTTAAATTAAGTGATACATGCATGAAAAAAAAGAAAAAAGAATGTTTAAGGCCGTGTAGTGAAAAATTCCTCCACCTCTGCCTACCATTCAGTGTTCTGGGGACAACTAATATGACCAGGGGGTCTATAAATATTAATTTATTTATTATTTTATTTTTGAGACAGTGTCTCAACATGCCCCCCTGACTACATAGAACTCCCTCTGTAAACCAGGCTGGCCAAGTGCTAGTGAATTAAAGGCATTTGCTAGCATGCCTGACTTCCAGGTGTTAATTTAAAGAAATACCAAGTAGAATGTTCCTTCAGTGTCTTTAACCTTCTTCTGATTTCTCTACTGCCAAAAAAAAGGGAAAAAAAAGGAAAAAAAAATCACCCTGGAAGGAAATAATATTCTTTAGACCTTAATTGCTAGTTTAACCTAGACATTAAAGTGTTATGATTCCCATAGTGGGAAGGGTGGGACAGGAAAGGAGTAGAAGATTTGGTTTGTTTGTTTTTCCAAATGATCCCAATTTTTCTTCTATTCCTTTAAAACAGTTTTAGCAGGAAGTAAATTATTTTACAACAGGATGGGCTGGAAAACAGCAGAGGCTAATAGCCCTTTCCTTCACAGTATGGAAAAATTGCTTTTCAGCCACTCCTAGGTTGTCTGAAACTATCTCCTTAGAGTGTCTCCTTTGGAGAGCTACATTTCCAAACGGAATGCCCTCCCTTGGCACAGGGCCTTCCTTGGGTCCCTAAATCACTCTGCTAAGGGCTTAAGCAGAGAAAATTAAGAGCACCTCAGGATTCAGAACAGGATTCAGCTTCTCCCTTTATGACATAACTATTCCCAAGGCTGTGTAAAAGAAGATTTCCAAGTCTAGCTGGTGGGTTCCATGACTGAGGCCCACCCCTCCCACTGCCCAGAATGTAGTTTCCTCTCACAGTTTAGAATGCCATAGAATATGCTTGACTGTGCTCACTGACTGTTGGCATACTGACTTACCAGAGTTTTTCCTAATGCTTCCCCATCCTCCCTCCTCACCACCCTGCCTGGACACTAGTTTGCACAAGTAAGGCCGTTCAATGCTTCTTCTCTGCATGTTTTGTTCATCTGCCCTCTTGCATGCAATGCTCTGCCACTTTGCAGTTGTAGCTAATTGTTTCAAATTCCAGTGAGTCCCTATTTGGGCCTTGCTGGCCTTATGTTTTAATTTCATTAATCAAAATTTGGAAACACAAACTGTGATGCACGAATCATTGTGAGTCATTGTCTCTTCACCTTGTGAGGTCTGCAGAATAAAACTGGAATAAAGGACGGGGTACAAACATAGAGGCATTTGAATGTGAGGGTGTAGACTTGGAAGAGGCTTCAAGAAAAGATTTTTATGAACTGGCCTTTGGCTGTTCTTGACAAGGGTGGAGAACGGGAAAGCCAGACCCCCCCCCAACACTTCCCAGTTGTTCACAGATTAATAGAAAAAAAAAAAACAAACCTATTTTAATACTCTACTTGCTAAGCCTTTATGAAAAGCAGTATGGAAGAAGGTGGTCTATGCAGCTGCAGGATAATAATTTGTGTTATTTGTGCTCTCTGAGTCTTTGTGTTTATGTACTCTTTAGAAGTGATGGGTTTTCAGCATTATGTTGGCCCGTCCTGGACAGTTTTATTCTACAGCTCTCTCCATGTTCCCTGTTTCCACGGCTCTGAAGCCCCCCTGGCTGAAGTATTGGCATAGAGCCTCAACAGCCTCAGCACAGTAGCTGCCTTCCCTGTTCGATTTAGATCCTCAAGACTAGTTCTCTGAGGCACAGCCACTTAACCAAATAACCATTAGTGAAATAGAGTGGGAGCCTCCTACAGGTGAGCTGGTACCCAGGGCCAGAGCTTAGAATTTCCTTATTTTCTCTGGTAACTGTTACTGCTCCATAGGATAGAATTTATGCTCTAAACCTCACCCTCCCTCAACCTACTCATAGCATAGACTTAGTATATACTGTATATACCACTATTTATCTTTGTTTGTTTTTTGTTTGTTTGGTTCCTTCCCTCTTGGTCTGAACCTAACTTTATGGCCATCGTCTTCCTCCTTCTCCTTTAGTTTCTCCCAAGCTGCTTTTAGTTTTGATGAGACCAAGTCAGATACAGATCTGGTACCCTTGTCTCTCTTGTGTGTTTGCATGTGTGCACCTGTGCGCGCTTAATACCCACTTGTGTATAGTGACATCTTAGGGTCTGGAGTCACTTCAGATGTAAAAGAGAGGCTTAAATAAGAGGAGCTGTGGCTGGGCTGGACTTTGCATTTGTCCAGTGCATCTAGATGAGCTGTGAGGAAGGAGGCGCGTGACAGTTGGAGTTCCCTTCTTAGCAGTACTGAACCCACAAGTCTAGTGTCTGTAAGTCTTGTGATTAGGGCTTGAGAAGACATGTGTCCATAGGCGGTAGCTGTGGATCTTACAGCCCTCTGGGCTCTTTTGCTATCAAACAGTGGCAGACTCACCCTGCATCATTCAGAGCTGTAGCAGGGTGAATTACCACCCAGTCAACTAGGGAAACCAGATTGAGCCATGTGAAGTAGTCAGGGAGATTCCCCTTTAGGATTCTGGGCCATCAGTGTCATACCCTGCCATTTCTACAGCTTCCCTTCACTTGAGCCTTCTCTGCGCTTTTCACGTTCTGCACCAGCTTGGAACATCTAACTCCTTGTGTCTGACACTTCTACACTACTGCTGCTAATGGCAAAGCTCCATGACATCTTCACCACCAGAGAGGAAAGGATCTTAGGCTTCCTTCTCTTGAGCCATATTCTGACCTCAGCTAGACTTCCTGGCCCCCAAATTTTGCCAAGCTTCCCCGAGTTCAGTGTTGGAAGATTGTCATGTAGTGCATGTGACAATTTGCTAATAACAATTTTGTCTTTTTTTTTCCCTCCCTCATCCCTATTCCCCACACCCTTTCCTTTTTAACTCTTGATTTTCTCACCTCTGGGGAAACCACCAGGAGCTGGTAAGAAGCCCAACCTTTCGTCTGCTTTTTAACGGGGTGTGCTGTGATGGGCAGTTGTTCTCTGTCCTGTGTTTCTACTAAACCTTTGGACATCCTAGTCAGTCCTACACACGGCACCTTTCCTGTCTTCCAGATCACTGTAGTGGCATGGCAGGAATCTGAGATGCTGGTAGACTGGGTGCCATCTGCAAGCTAGCATGTGCAGCCCACAAAGCTCTCCTGGGGCCACTGCTTAGGAGAGCTGCTCAGGAGATGCCAGTGTTGGGTAGCCCTCCTGGCCCAGGCCTCACTTCTACCACAGAACAACTTGCAGAACCACTGAGCCTTCCCTGCTCAGTACTGATCCTTTGTCATTCCGGTCTTTCCCTGCTTAAGAACAGAAGTCAGAAAATAGGTTGTCCACAGAGCGTCTATCACTGAGGGTTTAATGGGCGTGGACTGTGATTTCACTTTTCTTATTCTTCATGTTATGGCTCCCATGCCCTTTTCTTCCTCTTCTTTTTTTTTTTTTTTTTTTTTTTTTTTTGTGTGTGTGTGTGTGTGTGTGTGTGTGTGTGTGTGTGTGTGTGTCTGTGGTAGCAGAGTTCAAGCTCAGGATCTTTAGAGCGTGCTAGGTCAGTGTTCTACACCGAGTGACATCAGCCCTTCATTAACTCTTCTAATGTGAGCGCTCACTGTGTAGATGAGCCTAACCTGTAACTCAGAGAGACCCAACCTGCTTCTGCCTCCTAGGGACTGGTGTTAAAGCACCACCACCCAGTGTTATTTTTGTTTTTTTGAGACAAGGTCTTGGTATACCATTCTTTAGTATAGCTGGGATTAAAAGCGTGTGCCAGCACGTCTGGCCATTTTTTTAAAGAGTTATTTATTATTTATTTATCTATTTATTATGTATACAATGCTGTCTGCATATACATCTGCACACCAGAAGAGGAATCAGATCTCAGTATAGATGGTTGTGAGCCACCATGTCATTGTTGGGAATTGAACTCATGACCTTTGGAAGAGCAGTCAGTGCTCTTAATCTTTGAACCATCTCTCCAGCTCCTTAAAGATTTATTTAAGAAGTTTTGTTTTTTTTTTTTTTTTTTTTTCTGGTTTTTGTTTTTTTGAGTAGAGTCTTGTTTTTGTGACTCTAGCTGGCCCAAAACTCATGCTGAAGACAGGTTGGCTTCAGACTTGCAGGGATCTCCCTGCCTGAACCTTCCAAATATTGGGATTATAGTGTGAGCCATCAGGCCCAGCTTGTATTATGTATATATAATTTTATTTATTTTGAGAACAAATTCTCACTATGTAGCCCTGAATGTTCTGGAACTCTTTAGACCAGACTGGTTTCGAACTCAAAGAAATCCACCTGCCTCCTGAGGGCTATGATTAAAGGCGTGCACCACCACCACCCAGTGTCACTTTTGTTTTGATATGAGGTCTGCTATACCGTTCTCTTGTCTAGCTGGATTTGGAGCCCTCCTGGGTGCTGGGATTATAAGCCTGTGCTGCTATGCTTGTCTAAAGAGGGGACTGTGCCTTGTTGGCTTTTATGGAGAGAAAGCATGTTTCTAGGAACCAGCTTTGGAGAAGGTGCTTGCCTTTCTTGAGCTGCCATCCTTAGACAGTTTAGAGACTAGAAGTCACACAGCCACTTGGCAAGTGGGGACTTCGAGGGAGGGAAAGAGGATGATGGGCATTCGGGTGTCTCTTCTCACCAGGACCTGCCTCTGGGGAGGGGTGAGGGGAGCTGCTGCTTCCTTCCCCCTGACCTCAGTCTCTAATGCTGCCACCCACTCTGATCCCCACTGTGCTTATGAGTAGAAGCAAAAGGTGGAGCCTCCTCTAGCTATTGCCCTCTCCTGTCCTGTTTCTCCTCCCTGCTTCCCATATACCCACACACAGGCAGAGGCTCTGTCTTGGATGCAAATAAGATTGCCTGGGTAGCTAGCCTTACCCCAGAACAATTAAACCAGCGACTGAGAGATGGGCCCAGGCCTTGTCTTCTTGTTTTCCAAGAAAGAGGAAGAAAGAAACCTTTTCTAAGTGCAACTAGAGTTGAGAGTCGTTTACCTCGATTCAGGATTGGGGGCTGGTGTTGCCTTCTTCTGTAGAATAGGGAGGTGCCAGCCCTAACTGGAGAGCACTGCTAGGCCCCTCCCATCCTTCAGCACAGTGTGGAAGATGGTACCGAGGGCTGTCTCTGTAGCCCTTGCCAAGGTGCTCCTGGGAAGCAGCTGTGTGCTTATTAATTATAAGGTGTCCTTTGGAAACAACCCACTGAGCCTTTGCTTCTCCTCTCCCTTGAACTGTCCAGTCCCACAGTAGCCCAGAAGCCAGGCTTCTAAGCACATCCTCTGCCAACCCTCCTTACATCTAAGAGCTGTATTGATTGGCCTTGCTATCGGCCGTCCTTCCTCTCCCCCAGCAAGGATGGGAAGTTGGCTCTAAATGGACTTGTTCAACCAGGAAAGGAGATTTACTTCTGGGAGGGGGAGGTTAAGAGAGGTCAGGCTGGTTTGCTGCCCTGAGTGCATGGTGTGTGCCAGATAACTGGGAGGGGCTGAGGGAGGGGGGCTTATGTACAGAGTGGGTGGGGAAGGCTGTGCTGCCTGTATTCTAGCTAAGTCGAGGTGTTAATATTTATACTAAGGCTCCAGCTTTACCAGGAAGCTTCTCTTTCCTAGATGGAACTGGGATGGGCAGCTTGGAATGCAACCACGCTTTTTGCCCCTTGGAAAAATAGGGCTCAGTAGCTTCTAGTTTGGGGGCTTTATGGGATAGGAACAATGCTGAGGTAGAAATGGGGCTGACCCTAGCCTGAACTCCCTGTTCCCTCAGGAGGAGCTGACCAGCACAAGTGTGGAGCACATCATTGTCAATCCCAATGCTGCTTACGACAAGTTCAAGGACAAGAGAGTGGGGACAAAGGGACTTGGTGAGACTGGGCTGGAAGCTGGGTGGGAATCTGAGAGAACAAGCATAAGTGGTATGCTGTCATCAGGATTCGGTGGCTTGTGCTCTGAGGAAGGGCTCCCTTTAGAGCCTCTGTAAGAGCTCTCCCTGAGAGCCCTCGTAGCTGCTCGGTCTGTGACTGCGCTGCCTCTAGACCAGCTAACTCAGTAGTCTTCTTTTCTTGGCAGATTTCTCAGATCGCATTGGAAAGACCAAGAGGACAGGATATGAATCTGGAGACTATGAGATGGTTTGTTTTGTGTGTTTTAAGACATGAGGTGGTGAGCCTGTAGCAGGTGTTTTACCTGGGAGTGAGGAATGTTAAGTTTTGGGTTTTGTTTTAATTTTTTCTTTGTTTTTATTATTTTGTTTTTGGTTTTTTGAGACAGGGTTTCTCTGTGTAGCCTTGGCTGTCCTGGAACTCACTCTGTAGACCAGGCTGGCCTCACACTCAGAGATCAGCCTGCCCCTGCCTCCCAGTGCTGGGGTTAAAGGCATGCACTGTCACACTCAGCTTTGTAGTTTTTTGTTTTTTGTTTTTTTTAAAGGTTTATTTGTTTTTATTTTGTGTATATGACTGTTTGCCTGCATGTATGTAGCATGTATGTATGTATGTGTACCATGTATGTGCCTGCTGTCTGGGGAGAAAGCATTGGGTTCTCTAGGGTTATAGATGGTTGAGAGCCACTGTATGGGTGTTGGGAACTGAACTCAGGACTTCCGGAAGTGCAGGCTAGCTGCTGAGCCTGAGGGCTACAGTCTTATTCTGAGTGTATCTGCTGGCTTTGGAGCAGGATGCACTGGAGGTTGTTCTGCTCTGTGTGCTGCTCTGGAGTCTCCAGACCTCTATACAAGGGCATCAGGGATCGAGATGTTACAGGGATACTTACCACTAGGTCCAAGTCTGGGAGTAGGTCCTAAGGCTCCCTCTAATGGAGGAGGTACATCACTTTCCACACTTGTTCTCTAGCTTGGAGAGGGTCTGGGAGTGAAGGAGACGCCACAGCAGAAATACCAACGACTTCTGCATGAAGTGCACGAGCTGACAGCTGAAGTTGAGAAAATCAAGGTAAGCGAACGCTGGCTTCTCCCCAGCTCCGCTAGGCCTTTGCAGTGAAGGAGCAGCTCCCAGCAGGCAGAGAACACATCCCTGGGCTGTGAGGTGGTCAGAGCTGGGAATACAAATCTCTATCTAATGCTGTTAAACTCACTCTGCTGTTCTAAAATCTATCCTGGGGGTGTGGCGGGGGAATCGGCTGTTCCTTTAGAGGATCTAGGTTCTATACCCAACATCTACTCACAATGTCTGTAACTGCAGTTTCAGGGAATTGATGGCCCCATCTAGCCCTCATGGTCACTGCACATATGAGGTGCACTGACATACATACAGTCACAATACCATATATATAAAATAAATAAAACTACCTGGCCATAGCTTTCCTTGAAGGTAATCTTTTTTTTTTTTTTTTTTTTTTTTTTCTTATTGATTCTTTCCTGCAACCTTCACTACCGACCTCTTCTGTCAGGCGACAGTGAAGGAGTCAGCCACTGAGGAGAAGCTCACCCCGGTGGTGCTGGCGAAACAGTTGGCTGCTCTGAAGCAGCAGCTGGTTGCTTCCCACCTGGAGAAGCTGCTGGGACCAGATGCTGCAATCAACCTCACCGACCCAGACGGAGCCCTGGCTAAGTGAGCATCTCCTTAGCAGAGAGGTCATTGCTGAATGGAGCTACCAGAGGCTGCAGCCAGACACCGGCAGCAGCTCTAAGTAGGGAGGTGGCCTAGCCAATGAGAGTTTATGAGGCCAAAGAGAGACTTAGGTCACCCTCATCCTTCAGGTCATGACATTATCACCTGTTCCTGACACAGGCGCTTACTGCTGCAGCTGGAAGCAACAAAGAACAGCAAAGGCAGTTCAGGGGGAAAGACCACAGGTGGGACCCCCCCAGATAGCAGCCTTGTCACTTATGAACTACACTCTCGGCCTGAGCAGGATAAGTTCTCGCAAGCTGCCAAGGTACGTATGAATGTAGCAGAGGTTGGGGTCCAGGAATTGTGGCCTTAGATTTCCCTGCGTCCCTTTGAAGGGTCAGGCCTGGGGAAGAGCATTCTGGAAAGCCTTGACCCCTCCTGAAGTCTTACTCTCCACATTGCTTTGCATATCTGTGCTTTTGAGGCAGAGTCTCATGTAGCCTAGGCTAGGCTTTGAACTTAGGATCTAGCTTAGACTAGCTCTGAACTCCAGATTTTCCTGCCACTGCCTTGAAAGTGGTCCATCCAGTTTGAATTTAGGTTTAAGATTGTGGCTAGGGATGTGTTTTAGGAAAGGAGCTCTTGGAGCAGGAATGCAGTGGGTGAAGGGTGGAAAACCTCACTTCTGCCTTCTCCCTAGGTTGCAGAACTCGAAAAGCGCCTGTCAGAGCTGGAGGCCACTGTTCGCTGTGACCAGGATGCTCAGGTCAGGTGCTCTCCTGTCCCTAGTACAGTACTCAGCCCTGAGTACTGACCCCTTAGGGTCACAATGTTCCACAGAATCTGGGAATGGTCAGCCAAGGGGTTGCAGCTAAAAGCAGGAATTATGTTAGAACATAATTGTCCTGTGGATGTATGAGGATTACTGATTTCTTCCCCATTTCCCACCAGAACCCCCTTTGTGCAGGTCTGCAGGGAACCTGCCTTATGGTGAGTATGGAAGGAGCTGGGTGTTAGGCTCGCAGAGGCCTGTGGGAAGAGCTTAGTCAGGACACTGACTGTTGGGTCTATAGTGGTAACTCCAGCGAAACATGAAAGACCTTTTCAAGTTTGATTTTTTTTCCCTGGTAACATTTGTCCAAACCCTCCCTTCCCCAACCCTCTAGGAAACGGTAGAACTGTTGCAAGCCAAGGTGAGCGCCCTGGACCTTGCGGTTCTGGACCAAGTAGAGGCTCGGTTACAGGTATTCAGTGGGGGACGAACTGGATTCTCAGCAGCTTGGGACTTAGAAGCCCTGGTTTGGACACCCTATCACACCGAACACCTTTTCTTTCAGAGTGTCCTGGGAAAGGTGAATGAGATCGCTAAGCACAAAGCCTCTGTGGAGGATGCAGACACACAGAGCAAGGTCGGGCAGACTCCCCATCCTTATCCTCCCCCAGGCTCCTCTGAGTGGTAACAACAGAATGTAAGGATTTTGCCCTCCCCAGTCAGTGACCTCGCCATCCCACTGGGCCTGTCGTGCTCTTCCAGGTGCATCAGCTTTATGAAACCGTCCAGCGTTGGAGCCCCATGGCCTCCACCCTTCCTGAGCTAGTGCAGAGACTCGTCACCATCAAGCAGCTGCATGAGCAAGGTGTGGGCTCATGGGCGGGCTCTTGCACCCCTTTGGTTTCCCTCCCTTGTCAGCGTGGATCCACTCTCAGTCATGTTTCTCCTCACTTCTTTTGTAGCTATGCAGTTTGCTCAGCTCCTAACACATCTAGACACTACTCAGCAGATGATTGCCAGTTCCCTTAAGGACAATACTACTCTCCTGACCCAGGTGTGTGCATCTTTTTATTTTGTTGCCACCTTTTTCCAGGGCAGACCTCAGAGGTTCTCCAGCCCTACCTCAGAGGGGTTTGTCTTAGGGGTTTGAATTGAATGTCTGTTCTGTTCTCTGAGTTGTAGGCTGTGTCCAAGCTGGTTGATCTTTCTAACCTTGGACTTTTTTTGTGGCGGAAGGTGGGGATGTTGGACAGAGTCTTAGTGGGTCTGCCTGAAACTTGTTTTATGGACCAGGCTGGCCCCACATTTGTTGTAGTCCTCCTTCTTCCTCACAAGTGCTGGGATTACAGGAATGTGCTACTATGCTTGACTTTGTGTTTTTAAAACAGTTCTCGCTATTTACCCCTAGCTATCCTGGTATTTATGTAGCCTAAGCTGATCTCAAACTCACAACAAAACAAACCCTGCTGCTTTAGAATCCAAGGTGCTGGAAGCCTGAGCATTTCTTCTCTCCACTTTATTAAAATATTTTAGTGTACGTAAGAATGCGTGTGTGTGTGTGTGTGTGTGTGTGTGTGTGTGTGTGTGTAAACACGAGTGTATGCGCATGCTTTTGGAAATTAAAGGCACCGAATCCTTTTGGAGCTGGATCAGGCAGTTGTGCTCAGCCTAAAATGGGTCCTGAAAACTGAACCTGAGTCCTCTGCAAGAACAGTTAAGTGCTCTTAACCCTTGAGCCATCACTTCAGCCTTTTCACCTTATTTTTGAGATACAGATTTCTGGAACTCATTGTTGTAACTAGGCTTAGAGTGCCCTTCCTCTAGTACATGAGCCTAGTGCCCAGGGGAGCCAGAAGGGTGTATCAGATCCTCTGGGACTGGAATTACAGATAGCTGTGAGCTGTCATGTGGGTGCTGGGAATTGAACCTAGGTCCTCTGGAAGATCAGCTATGCTCTTAACAGCTGAGCCATCTCTCAGACCCTTGCCCATATTTTTACATCGGATCTGAATTCAGGTCCTGCTGTTTGCATAGTAAACACGTTATTTACTAAGTCATCTCCACCTCTCCCCTCTTTTCTCCCCTGAGACAGTTTCTCTGTGTAGTCTTGGCTGTCCTAGACTCACTCTGTAGACCAGTCAGACCCAAACTCAGAGATCCACCTGCCTCTGCCTCCCCAAGTGTTGGGATTATGGGCATGCAACCCCCCTCCCGTTTTTGGTTGTTTTTTTAACTTTTAAAATGTTTGATTGTCTGTGTATGTTTCTCCTCCATGCATATAGTGCATTGTGTGTGTGCCTAGTGTTTGTGGAGGCCAGAAGAGGCCATCAGATCCCAGGAACTGAAGTTACAGATGGTTGTGAGCACCATGTGGGTGCTGACAACTGAACCTGGGTCCTCTGGAAGATCAACCAGTGCTCTTCGCTGCTGAGCTCTCCTCAGCCACCACCTTTTTTACTCATTCCTCTAGAGTAAAACCAGTTGTTTTGTTTTTGTTTTTTACTAGTGCTCAGTCTCTGTGGGATGAGCTATTCTTAGTGCTGTGGAGAGATCAGCATCACAAACCACGGCAGAGGCAGAGACAGGGGCATCTTGAGTTTGAGGCTAGCCTGATCACCCAGCCAGTCACGGTTAGATCATGAGTCCCTGTCTCGAAATAAACAGAGAAAAGAAAAAGCCAGATTAAAGCCTATACCATTAACCCCAGCACTCAGGAGGCAGAGGAAGGGTCACCTCTGAGTTCAAGGCCAGCCTGGTCTGCAAAGTGAATTCTAGACAGCCAGGGCTACACAGAGAAACCCTGCCTTGAAAAAAACAAACAAAAAAAAAACGTATTTGGTATATTTTCTCTAGCTTTCTAAAATTCTGAACGACTGAACACTTTATCAAAGTCTTGTTGCCTGTCCTTACATAAAATATGTGAACGGTTCTGAAGGCAGAGCTGAATCGAAGTTCTTAGTCACTCAGACCCTGACCTAAGTCCGTAGTTCTCAGGGTAGTTTGGGGAGTGCAGCTACAAACCTCTCCTACACACACACACACCCCTCTCAAAAACAGAGACCCAAACTTGTTTCCGTTTCTTTGTTTTGGAGACAATTCGCATGTGTCCTATGTTGACCTCAAAGTATGACCTTGGTTGATTTGAGTAAGGCTCTATTTAACAGCCCTGGCTGTCCCGTAATTCACCCTGTACACCAGGCTGGACTAAAACCCACAGAGATCCACCTGCCTCTGCCTCCCAAGTGCTGTGATCAACGGCATGCGCCACCTCGACTGGTTTATATGGAGATAAAGATTGGGCCTAGGCTTTATGCTTACTGGAAAGCATTCTACCAACTGAGACGGATCTTAGCTGCTTCATTTCTTTCTCCTTTAAAGAGAAGTTCTTCTGGGTGCTCTTCACCTCCACCAAACAAAAATGAGACTTCTCCTCCTCCTTTGTAGGTGCAGACAACTATGCGTGAAAACTTGGCCACAGTTGAGGGGAATTTTGCCAGCATTGACGAGCGGATGAAGAAGCTGGGAAAGTGAGCACCATGGAGAGTTGGAGAGCAGGAATAACCCAGGGGTAACCCTTGTCCCCAAGCTTTGTCAGATTCCACAGGGCTTTCACTTCATCGTAACTCACAGCCCATCCCACCTGACAGAAGGCAAGGGTTCTTCTTGCATGTAGGGTGTGTACCCCTCCCCTGTCGAATACAGTGGTAGCTGGGGGATTTAGATGGGGGTCTTCCCTCAGGCCCATTAGATGAGGATGTGGGCCCAGCCACATGCCAGCTCATGTCCAATAACTGCTTTGCCTGGTGTGGGGGAGGACTGGACCCTGTCCTCTAATACAGCTCTGTGGCTGACTAGAATACTGTACAACTGTTTCTGACCATTAAATGCTGTTGTACCGTGGAGCCTCTGCTGTGTTTTCTGGGTTTCGGAGCGGCAGCACTGAGACACACATGCAGGGCATTCAGAGTCTTTACACACTATTATGAGACTATTACAGTTGTAATCCGTTCTTATCAAAGAACTAAATAAAAAACAAGTACTGAGCCAGAGCCAGAGTTTCAAAATATTCTCATCTGTTAAATTAAGAGTGTCTCCCATAGAAAAGCAGTGGAGGCCCCACAGGGCAAGTACAAAACAGAATTAAAACTCCCAAGGGTCTTGTCTTTACAAAAAAAAGGCAGGAGGCAGCCCCTGGACAGCTGGTCGTGCTGGCTGCTCCGGCTGGACCACGTTGCATAATCCTCAGCACATCATCACAACGTCTCTGAGCGTTTTGATGGGGGAGAAGTGGCAGTGTAGTGTGTATGGGAGGAGAGGTCCAAAAGGGCCTCTTTGCCCCCTTACCCCCTTTTCATATCCCAGAGGAAAGCAGAGGGAACCTGGCTATACTTGAAATGAGGCTATGTGTTTCAGTCCTGGGGATGGGTAAGGGGGATCTGTGCTTTGAGCAACCTGAGCCAGAGGCAGAGGGGTGCTAGAGGGACGGGGAAGATGCATGATGCTTATTGCTTTGTACCTTTCACTGGGTAGGAGGGCAGCAGCCAACAGTAGCTCACAGGTTTGTAAACTGAGCCTGCTGGCTTTAAGAAGGGAGGCAATGAAGTCGAATTAAATATAAAAGTCATTTGTGCAAAAATAACTTAAACAAATAAAAGACCTGGGTGAGGGGTGTTCCCCTTAGCGCCTGATGGGGAGAGGGCCATATACCACCCCCCCCCCCCAGGCCTCTTCAGTGACATGGCTTTGGGGGGGAGGGGGGAGCTTCCCTACCCCCTGCAATGGCTCAGGATGGGATTTGTAGGGGAAGGGGTTGCGTTTGTGCTCTTGAGTGGGGAGTAGTACCCCACCCACTGTCCACAGGTGCACGTGGCTGGCAGGGGCTCCCAAGGCTCAGCTCTCGGCTCTCCCCAGTCAGGGTCAGATTCCAGCTCCAGGTATGGCTGCTATGGGGCCAGTTTCCTCCTCTTATTTTTGGCAGGACGTCCAGGGCGGGCCCGGGGAGGCAGAGGGACAGCCGCCTATACAAGAGAAGTTGAAAGAAGTGACCACTTAGCTAAGAGAACAGGAGTCTTCCTCCCCACTCACCCTACTCTTCAGTTCTTGGCTGGCCTCCTGATATGCCTCTAACCCACACACCCACCCAAGCCCACACTTACTCCAGTTGTAGGGCTGGGTTCCAAGGTAACGTCCTGGCGGGAGCTGCTGCTGTTCCGGGCAGGGCTGCAATAAGGGCACAGATGATCAGGAACAGCTCCCAAGCACCAGGTGAATTTCAGAAGGTTGTGTGAGAGACTTTCTACATTTGGATAGTAAAGGCACAATATCCTTACTCATATTTAAGTATCTGCCATTTTTGAAAACCAAGCCACTATTGGGGCCAGGGGTATCTATAGCTCAGTGGTAGAGCACTTGGCCTAACATGCACAAGGCCCGGGGTGGATCCCCAACACCACAAAAACAAAATGACACCAAGCCACTATGGACAGTTCTATATTCCCAACAAACAGATGGCACAGGGGTGGCTCTCACACTCACTTGTATTTTCTCCTCCGGCCACGACGAGACTTTCTGACTATCCCCGGGGACACCTGAGGAAAGATGGATAGTGTATATGGGAAAATGAGAAAAGTGCAACAGCCCTGAGCCTGGACCTTACATTCTCACTTACCTTAAGGTCCTCAGAATGGGGCCCAGGAAGGGGTGGGTCCTTGGGCTCAGCATCCCCTTCAGCTAGCTCCCCATTATGCTGCCAGTGGTGGGTCCTTCTTGGGGACCGTTCCATTTGTCCATTGAAGCCACCACGTGTCCCCCACTTGAGGGCCAGTCGGCTAGGTTCTCGGCGGCTGCCAGGCTTCCGGCCTCTGCCTGGCCTGGTCTCACCATTAATGCCCCTAAGTCCCCCTCCTCCCCTCCGGCCCCGTTTCCCTGACCCCCTCCCAGTGAGCAGCTCAGGGACTGGGGGGTCAGGAGAACCATGGGGTGGGGCTAAGGCACTGAGGGGAGGCCGGGCGGCAGGCTCCGGTTCAAGGGCTGAGGCAGGGCTCTCGGGGGGCAGACAGGAGGCGTCTGGCTGCTCTGGAGGCATCTGCTGGCAAAGACATCTCCGCTTCAACCACAGGCCTCTACTCCAAAACCTTCTCAGTTTTAGGAAATGTCCCTTCCTGACCAGAGACCAGAGACCCACTCATGCACTCACCTGGAGACTCTGTAGCAGACAGGCTAGGGAGCTAGAAGCCCCTGACAGGGAAGGATGTGCTCCCCCCCCCAGGGAGGAGCTGCAGTCCTAACTGGCTGGAAAGAAGAGAGCCAGGGGGCTGCAACAGGCTGGGGAGGGTTCCAGGGCTGCTGGTCAGTGAAGACAGATCACCTGTGGAGAAACTGTAGTCAGGGACTCCCTGGACAAACTGAGCTGACTCCACAGTCTCTTCAGGTTAACCAATGGTTTACTGCTAGTTTCATACCACTCACCCAGCAGGCTGGCACTCAGCAGAGGGCTAAGAAGTTGGGGGGGTCTCCCTGAGTTGGAGGGGGCCTTGCCCAGAGAGGAGGCCCCCAGGTCAGTAGTTGCCGTGGTGACACTGGAGGTAGGTGGTCCAGGTTGGGGGGCACTCAGGACACAGGGCTAAGGAAGAAGAACTGGTTATAGCAAGTGGCAAAATGCTTAACACCCACCATCTGACTGAAACCCTGAGTGAGGCAGGCTGTGTGCTCCCTTCTTATACCCACCCTAGCCCAGCCAGGACTAAGTCTTCCCTAGGAGCCCTAAGGAAGGGCCCCCTCCTGATTTACTTCTCAGTCTGCCCCACCAATTCATACCCTTAGGCCTCACCTGGGGGGGGTGTCCCCGAGGGGGGATCCAGGCTGGCAGCCAGCAGCGCAGAATTTAAAGCTATGAGGGTGGGTGGGGCTGAAAGTGGGGGGAAAAATAGGGGGGGCAGGTCTCCCAAACCTGAAAATGGCTCCCCACTTGGACCTCCAGCTCCCTCTGCAGATCCTTCCCCATCCCCAGCTGTGGGGCCCAGGGCCAACAGGGGCAGAAAAGAGGCAAGGAGATTGCTAGGGGGTGCAGAAGGAGGGGGCAGGAGGTCTGAAGGGGGTGGTGAAAGCAAGGAAGCAACCAAAAGTGAAGGCCCTTCGGGCTCGCCTGGGGCTAAGGGAGGGCCAGGTCCCCCTGGTGGGGGTAGCAGGGACTCAGGGGGAGGCTGTCCTCCCCCAGCCAGCACACCAAATAAACTGTGGCTGAGTAATGGAGAAGGGGGGAGGCTGTCCCAGACTCAGGGGGAGAGGCAAGGCCCCCAGCATCCCTGGGAAGCCAGCTCCACTGAGTGCCAGGCCCTGCTCAGGACTGGAGAAAGGGAAGGCCTCCCCACCAGCCAAGGGAGGCAAAGGGCAGGCTGGGCCTGCCCCCATCCCCAGCCCATCAGATGGGCTTTGAAGCACAGGACTGGGGACTATGGGGGCTTTGGAGGCAGCTGGTGGGGCAGGGGCACCTGTAAAAGAAAACACAGTCAGCTCCCGGGAAGCTCCCCTTTGTAGCATCCACAGAACTCAACTTCTGACACAATACCCCCCTCCAAAAAAAAAAAAAAAAAGGAAACAAAACACCAAAGAGCTCTCTAAACTTTCCCCTCAGTGCCCTGGCTGGCTGTATAAGTGAGCTTGGGAGCTCTTTAGCACTCATACCTGGCACACTGCTGAGGCTGCCACTGGTGGTCCCAGGCAGAGAGGGCTGAATGGGGTGCCTGGGCTGGGGGGGGGCTCCCTGAGGAGAGGGCTGGGGGAGGAGGAAGGTGTGCATCTGACCCCAAAAGATTAAAGCTTCCATCCGAGTGGGAAGGGCCAGGAGTGGGGAGTCCCAGTAGGGACAGCACAGAAGGGAGAATAGGCTGGGATGGCTCTGGGAGAGGAAATGGCTGGGGGACAGGAGCAGGGGCCCGAGGACGGTTCCGTCTAGGGGTTTCAGGGCCTCCCCCTTCTAGCAACCGCAAGACAGTTGGGGGCCGGCGAGGACGACGCTGAGTGGGACGGGGTGATGATGAGTGGGAAGCTGAGGGTGCCTGGGCACGGGGCCTTCGGCCCTGTAAAGTGCTGGGTGAGGGCAGCGGGGGGTGCTGGGCCTTGGCTGCTGCAGAGAGTATGCTGCTAGCAAGGAACGGGGGTGCCCCAGGCCCCTCCACTGTGGGGGGCCCCTCCCAAGGATCCCAGGATCAAGGGCAGGTGCATAGTGGCTGAAGACACTGGTGGCTGAGTGGCAGGACCGGAGGGACCAGGGGGACCAGGGAGATTATTGCTTGGGGGCAGGGGAGGAGGTGTTAAGGCATCACTACAGTGGAAGAGAGGAGAGTCTGAAGGTGGTGAGGAGGAGGCAGGAGGGGCTGGAGGAGAGCCTAGGTCAGAGGGCACCAGGTTGGATCGGAGGGAAGCTCCCCAGGTGTATGAGGGGGCATTGAGGCTAATAGCAGGTGGAGGTGGGGGGGGCTGGAGAGGGAGCATTGCCTCGTGGGAGGAAACAAGGGCTGCTGCTGCCCGAAGAGGGAACTGGATCAGGAGGCCGGGGTGGTGGGAAGAGCCCTGTAGGGCCTGTTAGAGGGGGGAAGGCCTGGGGAACTGAAGGTGGTTCTTGGGGAGCGGAGCCAGGACCCCCATTAAGTGGAGTTGTAGAAGGAACTCGACAAGGAGGACGGACAGAGGGGGGCCCTGGGGACACAGTGTGGAACATCTGAGGGCTTGCTCCCTCTCCTGCAATAAATGAGACATAAAGAGTCAGCTTGTGGGTCCCAACTCCCATTATGTCCTCTCTCAGCAAGCTGTTCCCCACTGAGTCCACCCTGTGCCTTCTCATGGAGCTCATCCACCATCCACCTCCCAAGCTCTCAGGTTTTTCCCATTCTTGTCTAAAGTGGCAGAAAAACTCACCAGGAGAAGAGTGTGAGCAGGTGGTCTCCATGCTGCGGTACAGAGTTGCCATGGCAACAGCTTTCCGCCTGTGGTTGCACAGCTTGGTCATGTCCTCCTCTGATGCAGGCCCCACCCCAACCCCACCCGGGGTCACCGAGGCCAAAGGGTCAAAGTTGAAAACCTGTAAGGTAGAAGGCACGGACCAGGGCACTGAGGGGTGGAATCCTAGGAAGGCACCAAGGCCAGTTACTTGCATTAAGTCTTTTGGCTTATGTCTACAGTCTCCAGCACCCCCAGAACTCTGACCTTGGGGACATTGAGTGGACATTCCAGACCACACTTGCACGTCCCATCGCTGAGGAGGTAGCTCCGGGTTTGCTCCAAGGAAGACAGCTCTGTGCCACTTGGGCTGGGAAAGAACAGGGTCACAGGTATGGGGTTAACTGTCAGCAGATCTGGAGACACCTCCTAAAGGACAATTAAAACCTTTCCTGGGAGGGGCAAGGCCTAGGGATGTGAGAAGAAACAGAGTGAATGGCCTCAAAGACCCAGAGATAAAAAGAGCAAAAGGGCCGAAAATGAGAGCAACAAGGTGCCAGGAACCGAAGCCCTGAGGAGGGTGAGGGCAAGGGGGCTAAGTAAGCCAGCCTAGGGATCGCTCAACAGCCGTACCTGATATAGAACACGGCACCTTCTCGCACACAGCGCTGCCAGCCGATGGGGACAGACGTGGCCACAGGGCCCCCAGCTCTGTCTGCTCCACTGCTCTCATTGCCCCCATTCATTGTGTGTAATCAGCTCCCTTGTGCCTGAGAACACAGACAGCCATGTGGGCACCAGGAGGATTACACTGGGCCGGGTACCTGAAGGGCAATTCCAGGAAGCAAAGGTGGTGGGAGGTCTCCCGAGTGCCAAGGGAGCCCTCGAAGGGCTGGGGAGAAGGGGTCCTTTGCCATACCAGTGTGGCTACCTGAACATCTCTGCAAACATTTTGGGGTCCAGTCTAAAGCCGGGGCCACCAGCTTAGCCCACACCTGCAACACAAGGAAAGAGAAGGGCCTCTCAAGAATCTACCACAGCCCAGAATACTCAAGGAAAGGCCCATAAATAACATGACGTAGTGCCTGTAAGGACCTCGGGGATCTGCCGGCCATGCCCACAACTATCCACTCCAAGCCCAGTCCCTAGGGACCAGAGACGCTCAGCACCTCCACTCCTAAGGACCACAAAATCATACCCTAATTTCTTGACATATGAAGGCTAGTTCCCTTTGTTTAGGGCCCCAGAAGACTTCAACAAGGAGTGTGGGCTAATTCTCATAATGCCAGGCCACTAGGAAGTTTCCCAGTGTCTGGCCACTGCTGTCCCCTCCCCCAGGAAGATCGTATAAAAAGTACAGATTGTCCCACAGGTCACCAAGCAATTGCCCAACTGCCTGGTAAGGTGGTACCAGCAGAAATCCCCCATGCCCACTCTACCAGACAATCTCAGATCTAATTCATTTGGAACTCGAGACAGGCTGGAACCAGAGCTCTGTCTTCCTCCAGGATCCTGAGTCGCTTGCTCCTAGTCCTCTCAAGCCGACGACGAAAACGGGATTCATAACCTCCCGCTGGCTTCCAATTAGCAACGAGAAGTATATTCTGACACGCAGGGACGACCCTTATGCCTGCAAGTATCTTCACCAACCTCACCATCGCTCCCACCGCACCCTGACGGCTTCCAAACTTTCCCTCTCATAACAAGGCGCCCTGTCACCCAGACTGCTTCCTTCAGCTCCGGGGAGGAGGGGAAGGCAGGCGCACGAAGTAGGAAGGAACTTGGGGAGAGGGCGGGTGGAGGGTGGGCGAAGCACTGAAGGGAGGGAGGTCAGGAAGGCAGAAGTCAGGTTCCGAGGGGGAGAAACAGCGGGGGCAGGTGAGGGTAGGGGACTGTGGATGGGGCCAGGGAAAGGGGCCGAGAGGACGAGGGGGCAGAGGGTAGGGACAGAAGGGGAGGAGAGAGAAGGGAGGGGGAGGGGCGGGGGGGCCGGGCCCCGCACTCACCGCGGCCCATGGTTCGGCTGGCCCCGCCCTGCGCAGTCGCGGCCCAGAGGGGGGGGGGGGGGGGGTGGGAGGTGGGTCGGTGGAGCCCGAGCCTCCGGTACGGCCCCGGCCGGTCTTAGCAGGAAGCGCCGCCGCCGCCGCCGCCGCCGCCGCCGCCGCCGCCGCCGCCACCGCCGCCGCCGCCGCCGCGGATCACCGAGCGGCCTGCCGCGCATGCGCCATAGGGGCCAGGGGCAGCCCTGGGGATTCCGTTCCCAGAAGGCACCGCGCAGGCTGCTACCGCCGCCGCCGCCGCCGCCGCCGCCACAGCCACCGCCGCCGCCGCCGCTGCCCGGACGGGAGAGGGGCGGGGCCGGGCCCCCGCCCAGCGGACAGCAGCGAGCCAACAGGAGGGGACGCAGTGCGCATGCGGGAGTGCGCCTACCCCTCCCCCACAACCCCCCATTAATCCCCAAGAGAACAAACCCCCCCCCCCGCCCCCCCCCCCCCCCCCCGCCCTCCGCGGAAGGATCTGGGCCTCTTCCCAGGCCACCGGTGGCCAATCCCTGTCCTCCCTCGGGAGGGGCCCCTTCCGAAGCCACAATCGGTTGGGGTAGCCAGGAATGTCAGGTCCGGGAGGGGCCAGCCCTAAAAGATGAAAGTCGCGACTTGCCCTGCCCCGCCCCAAAGGCTTCCCGGGTAGTGTGCCGAGACTTGACCCGCCTCTCCAGGTCAACATGTCACAACACGACCCCGGCCTGTCAAGTCACATGACCTCTGCCTGTCACTGACAACCGGGTCTGTCTTTAGGCCAGGAGAGACCATCTGGTTCGACCCACCCCCACCTCTACCAACAGAAGGGGAAGTGAAGGTCTGGCCAAGGACCTGTCAGTGTCACACCCTCCAATATCAACCGGTCTTGGTGCAGTTTCTATTTAGACAAACTGGCTTGTCCCTGAGTGTATGACAGACGAATAGGCCACCACATGGCCTCTGTTTTCATGGTACAAGAACACATTTCGCAAGAGGTTTTTACTTTTGTTCAAAATCACTCCACAGTGCTCTTTTTACCTTTACCTCTCGTTCTCTAATTTACAAAAGAGTAAGGTAGAATCCTTGGGCAAATTCCCTAGAATCTGTGTTCCCTCTGATAGCCAGTCCAGGGCAATGAGAACTCAAGAGTATGCACGTCCCAGTCTGTGTGTAGGTCATGACCCCAGGCACCTAGAGAGCATCTCCTCAGCTGGGAGTCACAGGACTTGCTATCTTGGAGAAGGAAAAGGGTGGGTACTGAGACGGGCATAAGAGCATCACAGAGAGCAGGGGGGGGGGGGGGGTAAGGAGAAGCAGAAACCTACACTCTACACGTAAAGAACCTGAAACCTGGCATGCAATGGACGATTCGGAAACGAACGTTAAAGGTGCTGTTCTGAGAGAAGTGCGGAACGACTACCAAGGACATGCCAGTACCTCAGCCTTTGGGAAGCGTTAGAAGGCTGAAAGAGGAGATCTCTTTTAAAAGACTCGAGAAGACGTCAATCCAGGTGGACAATTGGCAACTTTAAAGAGCTTCAAAAGCCTCGGTGCCCATTAGCTGGGAAGGGCCAGGAAAAATGGGAGGCTTTCATGGAGAAGTTAAAGGTGATGGGAGGTGGGGAGAACAGCAGCTCTTGGGCAGACAAGTTCAGGAAGGACAGCCGTTGGGGCCGTTGGATACTGGGCGCTGGCGCTCCGCCCTCTTCACATACACACACACACACACACACACACACACACACACGCACACAGACACACGCACTCGGGCCCCGCATCTCCCACCACCACCACCACCACCACCGAGGTTCCCTGCGCGTGCGCGCGCAGACACCGGTTGCCAAACATTGCATCATCCCCGCCTCCCGTCATCCCCTCCCTCGCTGCACTCTCCTCCGCGCGCGCGCATGACTCACTCACCGCCTCCGCGAAGCCTCGTGACCCAAAGCCACTTCCGGGTCCGAGACAACATAGACTCTCCAGCTAGCGGGTGCGATGGGGGCGGGACCGCGAGGGCTCCTGAATGGCGGACGTGAGGGGTGAGGCGGAGCCAGTGCCAGCATGCCGCTTTCTGATTGGCAGTCTCGGGACTCCGTCCCTACGAGGAGGGGAAGGCCAGCATAAAAGATCTCCGCTCCGCGCACCAGAGGTCAGTAGCTTCGGTCTAATACAGCGATCATATCATGTTGAAGATGAGCGGGTGGCAGCGACAGAGCAAAAGTAAAAGCCGGAACCTGAGGAGAGAGGCAAGTACTGACTCCGTCTACTCCTTCCCTCTCCATCCTCGCCGGCATAGTTTTTTCGTAAAGTTGGAGGCCACTGCTGTTATGCAGCCCCACCTTTCACAGAGTAGACCCAGAGAGGGGTGAAGGCGGGGGGGGGGGGGGGGAATCAGGGGATTCAGGAATGGTGTTTACGGGACCCCTCTTTTATTAGGGGGCAACTGCATCTTCGTCCCCCTGTCTCGAGTTGGTCCCTACTTGCCTTTGGTAAATTCATTCTCTGCAGTGCGAACTGCGGGCCATCTTGGGCCTGGGCAGTTCGCAGGAAAGGCGGGGCAGCAGGACACACCCCCATGTCGGGGACTTTTGCGGTATCCACCCTTTCTCCACTGGCCTCACTCCCTCCCACCCCCTGCCCCGCAACAATAAAGCTGGAAGTGCCTCAGGGGCCAACATGGCTACTTCAAGAGAACCCTGAGACTAACAGACCTTAGTGAGTGGAGGTGGTGGGAGGAGCATAGGTGGGTTTTTCCCTTTTCTCCAGAGATTTTCTGGGCTTCCGTACAAGAGAGCAGCCTGAATCTCTTTAACTATGGGAAATTATTTGAAATCTCCCCCAGGGCCTTGTGCTTCTCCCAGGACTAGTCTCTGCTTCTTTCTTCAGTCCTGTCTCCTAACTAATCTCTGTAACCATTGCATCAGGCCAGCCCACTGTTTGTCGCTGCACCCTCTGGCCTGGGGCAGCACTGCTGATGAAAGCCAGGTCCCAAACACTGGAAGACCAAGGGAGTTTCCCCTAGAGGACAGCCCTGCAGAGAAACACTCAGGGCAATATTGCATCTCCAGTCCCCAGAGACAAGCCGCTCAGCTCTGCCTCTGGGCTTAGTTCTCCTTATCTATAAGGGACACTGGGGAGGGGTTTCCCCCTTCATTCCTAACAAATGCACCTTCTATGTGCCAAGCATTTGGGGGCCCAGGGTATATTGGGAACAAAAGATAATACTGCTCTCTGTACAGCTTATATTTCAGTAGGAAGCAAAAGGGAAAAAAAAAAAAAAAAAAAAGCAGGGGAGAGAGCAGAGTGTTCAGAATGGTGGCTAGAGGTTTTGTTTTTGTCATGTAAGGAATTACCTCACTAGGATTTTAAGTGAAAGACCCAAAGAAGGCAAGCCTGTGAGCCAACCAGATAACTTGAAAGAGCTTTCCAGAAGGAAAGCCAGAGCAGAGGGGTTAAGCTAGAACATGCCTGGTATCTTTAGGAACAGGGCAGTGGGCTGGACTAGAGTGACCATGAGAGAGGGCAGTGCATGAGAACTGAAGCAGCAGATCGTGTAGATCCTTGCAAGTAGTCTTTAAGAGTCATGAAACAGAAAGCTTCTGGAGGGATCGAGCAGAAGCAAGGCCCAGTGTCATAGCACACATGCACTTAATTCCAGCACTCAGAGAGGCAAGGTCTCGGTCCAGGCCAGGATCTCTCATAGTGCAAGCCTGAATCAGTAAATGAGTACAAAAAATAAAGGGCTGAAGATGTAGCTCAGTGGTAGACTGCTTGCCTAGAATGCAGATAACTCTAGGACCAACCTCCAGCCATGAATATAAAACAAAAGAATAGAAATGGGGAGAGCTCAGGTAGATATAGATAGTAGTGAATGCCTTTAATCCCTGCACTGGAAAGAGGCAGGTGGATCTCTGAGTTCGGAACCAGCCTACTCTACAAAGCAAATTCCAGGACAGCCATCACTACATCATGAGACCCTGACTAAAAAATAAAAATAAAAAATGAAAAAACCTGAAAAATAATGCGAGATCTCAAGGAGGCTTCCAAATAATCTAGGCAAGGAAAGGTAAATTGATTTGCATTTGGAAATGAGATAATAGTGAGAAGTACTTAAGTTTTAGGTACTTTTAAGGGATGTATTAAAGTGCTTTAAACTGAGAGATGAGTCAAGGATACCAAGTTTTTTGGCTTTAAGCACCTAGAGCTGCCATTTAGTCAGAGTGATACAACCTTGGAAAGAAAAGGTCAGCAGGAGATTGTCTTTAAATGCAATCTGAATGCCTGCCAGATATTCCAAAGGAGATGGTGAGTAGACCGCAGAGTTAGAGGTCCAGGACAGGTCCAAACTGGAAGCTGCCAGTGTGCGAATGGAGTATGTGCAAATGCTGCTGTATTTTCTCTTTTCTGTAGTTTAGTCCTTGCTCTGGCAGATAAGAGTCTATCTGGGATTTAGAGAAAACTTACTTGGCCAGGACTATTATGTAATGAAGGCTAAAAATGTTAGTAACTAAAAATAAAGTCACGCTTGCCATGTCCTTGGAATTGGCTTTGGGGATACATGCAATCGTGTGCCCGCGCATGTGCGTGTGTGTTATTGAATTCCAAGACACTCAGGGCCACACAGAAACTGTTTCAAAAAAAAAAAAAAAAAGAGAACTAGAGAAGGGCCAGTAGAGACTAAAATACCTGTCTCTTCCCTTCTTCCACAGTGTTCCAGGAGGAAGTGTATCTTCATACATCACCACACCTGAAAGCAGGTAATCTTGGCCAACCTCTCAAAATCAGCTCCTAAAGGGGCTCAGGTTGCTTTGCTGTGGTGCTGAATCTGAACAAACTTTTGCTGTCAGACCGTATCTTTCTCTGAGCCCATAATGTCACTTTTAGAGCACTTTCCAATTGAAAGCTGGCTCTCAAAGTCAGTCTCAACGATGGCAATTGGTTTGTCTTTCTGATCTGTCCACACCAAAGTTCGACCCAAAGGACTTACTGCCCACGCTTCCCATACAAGAAAAAGGAGCACAAATGGCCAGTAATGGCCCTGGAAATCCCAGTGGTGTTTCCAAGTGGGGTGAATACTTTTACTATAATCCTGTAAGAGTATACAGCCCATAGCCAAGCTTAGCGGCTCCTTCCTGTAATCTCAGAGGAAAGAGAGTCATGCAGTTAAAAGGCCGGCCCAACTTACCTATAGTGAATCCCTATCCCAATAAAAGGTATGTTCTGCTGGGCGTGATGGGGCACATCTTTAGTCCCAGATATAGGCATGTATATCTGTGAAGTCAGGTCCAGCCTGGACTACACAGAGAAACCCTGTCTTGAAACTTTGTCTCCAAAAAAATTTGTTCTTGGGGTGGAGAGATAGCTCAGTGGTTAAAAGCACTTGCTGCTCTTGCAAAGGACCTGGGTTCAATCCCAGGACCTACATGGCAGTTTAAAAAATCATCTGACTCCAGTTCTCAGGGAACTCATTCCCTTTTGTGGTCTCCATTTTATGTGTACCAGGCACACACACACAGCACACATACATACATGTGGGCATTCACACATAGGCACAGACAAAATAAATACATCTTGGGGAAAAAAAGCATGTTCAGGCTAACTGTGAGTATAGTTTGGTACTGTGCTAATAAGCCAGCATATAAACAAGGGCGTTGGTTTAATTCCCAGCACAACAAAAAATGAAAAAGCAAAACAAAAACAAAAACAAAAAAAAAAAAAAAAGGAAAGCTGTGGGGGGATGCATGCCTTTTAAAAGCAGCACTTAGGAGACAGAGACAGGTGAATCTCTGAGTTCAAGGCCAGCCTGGTCTACAGAGTGAGTTCCAGGACAGCCAGGCCTACACAGAGACACCCAGTCTCAAAACAAAACAAAAAAGGGCAAGGCTGGAGAAAAAGCTCATCAGTTAAGCACACTTGCTGCTTTTCTGATGGAGCGGATTTGAGTTTCCAACACCCACACCAGGTGGCTCACAATTGCCTGGAACTCTAGCTCCAGGAGATCCAATGCCTCTGGTCCCCAGACACTGCACTTGTGTGAACACGTACAAAGAAACAAAATAGTAAGAGATTACTAATTAATACTTACACTTACTGACTTTAGTATTTTAATTACATTTATTTGTGGGGGGTGCTGGCCATGTGGTGTGCACGTGAAGGCCTGGACAGCTTTTGAGAGCTTTTTCCTCCTACCAGGGCAGCCATGTCCCTATCCTGCCGTTCATTTAGTGTGTGCCTGTATGCAGCAGTGTACATGTGGAGGTCAGAGAACAATTCACGGGGATTGGTTCTCTATCTTCTGCCAATGTGGCTTTTAAGGATTGACAGCCCATGTCCCTACCTCTCCTGTAAGACAAGTGATTTTTAAATTCAGTGTCTTAAACCAGTTTGCCAACTGTGATAAGTGGAACCTATACCTATATATTCTTTTCCAGAACCTGGTCCACAAGTACAGACATGGCAGCTGAGTCTCTGCCTTTCACCTTTGACACAGTGTCCAGCTGGGAGCTGGAAGCTTGGTATGAGGATCTGCAGGAGGTGCTGTCCTCAGAGGAAATTGGGGGAACCCATCGCTCATCCCCTGGAAATGAAGAGGTGAGTGGGAGTGCTACTCCTAAACAGGCAGCAGGTCTGGTGGTGCACACCTGTAATGCCAGTACTTGCAAAGTGGAGCAAGAGGCTCAGTTCATGGCCAGCCAAAGCTAGAGTTTGCATCTGGCCTACACAAAATCCTGTCGCAAAAAAAAAAAAAAAAAAACAAAACAAAACAAAAAGCAAAAATAAAATAAACCCCAGGAAACTGGGGAGTACAAATGCCTCTCCTGAATAATATGCATTCTCTTTCTTCACTTCCTTAAAGGAAGAATCAAAAACTTTCACTGCTCTTGACCCGGCATCACTAGCGTGGCTGACTGAGGAGCCAGGGCCAGCAGAGGTCACAAGGATCTCCCAAAGCCCTCGCTCTCCAGATTCCAGTCAAAGTTCAATGGCTCAGGAGGAAGAGGAAGATCAAGGAAGAAGCAGAAAGCGGAAACAGAGTGGTCAAGGCCCCGCCAGACCTGGGAAGCAACGCATGAAGGAGAAAGAGCAGGAGAACGAAAAGAAGGTGGCACAGCTCGCTGAGGAGAATGAGCGGCTCAAGCAGGAAATCGAGCACCTGAGCAGGGAGGTGGAAAGCACACGCCGGGCTCTCATCGACCGAATGGTCAGTCTGCACCAAGCATGAACAATGGCACCCTCCCCGTAAGTCCCTCCTGCCTGTCTCCTGGAAACACGGTTGTGCCAGTGCCAAGGGGGCAGCCCTCAGCTGCACATGCTGAGTCGGGAGGACTGAGGGTAGACCAAAGGAAAGGGTCTCGGCTTGTATATGCACACTGTACATCCTTTATTATTGTCCACAGACAGTAAAGTGACTTTCCGTGAGCACCCTCTCACTTTTTCTTCTTGCCTTTAGGAGTTTCAATGGGTTTCCCCTCAGCCAAAGCCAGCTGTTTCTTGAGGTCCAAGAGTTTAGCCACCTCTGCAGCAACCTGGTTCTTGTCTGCCTTTTGTGCTTTCAGTTCCCGGACAATGTTGCCCTAACAGGAGAATGAGGGTGAGGGCAACAAGAGTAAGGCTGTGTGAACCTGTGTGGGTTCAGCACTTCCGCTTCCTCCCTCAGGGCCTCATACCTGTCTGGTCACCTCATCCATCAGCATCTGTGTCTGCAGTGGCCCCGGTGCTGTAACTGGCTCCACAACTACTGGCCTGGGGGGGTCCTTTAGCCTGGGGAGAGCAGTAGAATTATCACCACAAATACCCTCTGGCCTCCAGTGTTCTGTAACATCCCAGGGGAAAGGGTTACCTTTAACTCCAAGGTCTCTTCGAGCTAAGACAGGAGAGAAAAACTAAGTGAGGAAGCAGTGAGGCCAAAGGTGGAAAGAGGAGCGAGAACTATGGGAAATTAGTGGTATTGCTGTGACTTCTGCTGGAGGAAGGCACAGTCTGGTTCGCTCACCTGGCCCCCTCCAAAGCGCTGCCTCAAATTTTCAATCTGGTCATTTTCCAGTTTTTGGAACAAAGGACTGACCTGTGTAAACAAATGCCAGAACCAATCAGATAATCTCACCACAAAGAGAAGCTTCCTGCCCTCCTTTCTGACATTCGAGACCCCACATGCTTCAGACAGGACACTGAGCAGTGCCTGAAAGCCTCAGAGCATTCACAAAGGCAGCAGTAGAGGGAAGTTATGGACACCAAGGAGACAGAGGTCAGTATGTACTCTTATGTAGTGTCAGAGAATGGCTATCACCACCATCATGGCACTTCCTCAACCATTTCTATACTGTGCCACTGATGGCTTCTGGCATGAACAGCAATAAGGATACATAGATAGTACTGTACTCATGAGCCAATACCAAGAACCATTCATAAGCCAACTGCAGAACTGGGGAGGGCCTTAGAGAACAGCTGCCAAGCCCCACACCTAAGCCAGAGGTGTTTAGGTTTCTAACCTCACCCCAAAGGCAGCATTGTGAAAATAAGGACTTTAAGTTGCCAGCCCCACCAACATTAATGAAACCTACTGTGCCAATCCGGTGACCTGCTGGTAAGGTACAGGTGAAGTGTGTAAGGAGGACGCGGCAGGCTGGAAGTGGAAGCTGGAGCTGGGTCTGGATGGTGGAGCTGACTGTGGGCATGTAAGGATGGAGCATGACAGACAGCAGGGCAGCTATGTTCACTGCCACACCTGTCACTGTGCCTGCCCGCTGCCTGAGGAAAGAAAGATAGGTCAAGACCACCAAGAAGATGCAGCATGCCTTTAATTCCCAGCTCCTGAACACACCTGTCCACCTCACCACCTTTAATCCGTTTCCAAGGCTCATTCACTTGAATATATTGGTTGCCATGCCGAGATATGGTAAGGATACGGCGTAAGGCGTCCCGGATCCTGGGAAGGGAGGAGGCAGAGTACATGGGACTGTCAACCATATCGGACATACCACTGACATGGTTGAGCTGGAATTACTTACCGAACCTTTTCCAGCAGCTGGTGATAGTGCTGGAGTTCCCAGGAGATATGGGCCAGCATGCGTCTGTCATCCTGGGTTAACACCATGTCAGGCACACAGCCCCCAAAAAACTTAGACACAAACATGCCAGCTCTTGGGGGCAGGGGGAAGGAAAAGACAAAGTTATTGCCCAGTTTCCTTAGAGATATTCATCCCATTTCCATAAGTCTTCGCGCTCAGGCCAGCAGACCACGCATGAGGTGGGTCAAGTCTGACACCAAGTCCAATGACCTGTATTCAATCCCTGGACGCCACATGGTGGAAGCGCTGACTCAGAGGTTACACTCTAACATTCGTGGCACACTGTCAGTGGACCCCACACAAGTAGGAAGTAGATGTAAAAAACAAAGCAAAATCCAGACAAAAAAACTTCATTCTCATAACGTTTCTGTGTAAGCCTATCAATTCCTGGCCCCTCAAACTAAAAGTACAATCTCTCTACACTCTCTTAAGAATGTAATTCTGCAAATAAATGAGTTAAGCAGCCAGGTGTGGTGGCATACAACTGTAATCCCTTAGCCACATTAACTAATTACCAAAATTAATTAATTAAAAAATAAATTAAGCAATTATACATTTTTAGAAGTATGAAGAATTATCAAATTGAAGTACGTGGTAAGCTAACAAATATTCTACAGAAAGCTGCTAAATGTGGTAAAGGCCTAGTTAAAGGTCCAGAACTGACTGAAAAATTTTAGGTCACAGTGGGAAGGCACAGTGCCTTTGTGTTGAGGATAAACTCAGAATTCTGAATTGTATCTCCAGGGTGTCTCTCTCCTTTGGAGAACTGCTGTAATGGCAGAGACAGGACCGCAGTAGAGTGTGAGCCTACAGCAGCAGCGTGGACACCAAAACATGTCAGTGACCTGCAGGCTGACTTCTATGTGAGGAGCAAACGCATCCCCACTTCTAAAGACCTTTAATAAGAATATAGCACACAAGACTCGCTTCGTGGCCCCATTAATCCCCTAGCTATGGCTAACTTGCTCAGGGATGCACAGCTTAGTGTGTGTGCTTAGCACGTCTTTCCATGTTGGGTGATCTCTCCTTCCTCCTACCTGTTGATGAAGTTGCCCAGGTTGTTAAGCAACTCAGAATTGTTTTTAGTCAGCATGTCTGTCCAGGAGAAGGCACTGTCCTGGCCCTCAGGCCGAATGTACAGCAGATAAAAGCGCCAGATGTCAGCAGGGATCCCCGTATCCTGGGCCATGTCTCCAAACACTCCTACCCCCCGGCTCTTAGAGAACTTCCCATCCTCGTAATTCAGGTACTCTGGACAAAAGAGAAGGACTCGAATCATGCCCTTCCCTCCCTCACCTACTACACCTCTTTCCCTTTCCCTCAATGATGAGTGTCCAAAAACATCTTTCCGGCCATGGAGTTCCATGCTCCCATTCTGGTCTCTTTCCCTTTCCTTAAACTACTAGTTTTAGCTTTAGATCTTGGCTTTCAAGTTCTTGTTTTTCCTCTTTTGGATGGAATTCTCATGCTTTAATTATTTCTTAGTTCATTCCAACTCCTAACCTAAGAACCAGCACCCCTCTAGCTCTGGCAGGACCTACCTGTAGCAATGAGATGCTTGACTAACGTGTAGTTGTCCTCAGCTCCTAGGGTTGAACAAGGAAAAATTATGCTGTGGAAGGGCACGTTGTCTTTGGCCATGAACTGGTAAAGGTCAACCTGGGAGAATACAGTGGAAAAGAGATTGCGAGAACCTTCTTCAAAAGCATGAGCCCACTTACCTAACACCTTGCACCCACAGACAGGTTAACTAAGACTTGCTTACTTACTTGTTCTGGATTCTTCCACCATCTCTCCCATTGGTCTGTATAGTTGGCTGTGATAGACAGATAGCCAATAGGAGCATCAAACCAGACATAAAATACCTGGAGAGAAACAAACAGAAGCCAACCTAAAGTTTCAGGCTAAGACGAAATATCAACTTTTTAATCTGCTAGCCTAAGAATCAGTCCCGAGGCTGAACAGTTTAAGCGGTGACTAAAGGTTAAAGGTATTTACCTTGTCCTCAAAACCTTCTAAGGGCACAGGAGTTCCCCATTTGAGGTCTCTGGTTATGCAGCGTGCCTTGAGGCCATCTCGAAGCCAAGAACGAGTAATAAACCGAGCATTTGGTGTCCAGTCACTGCCAGGCAGTGTCCTCCCCAGCCAGTCCTCCAGTCGCTTTTCCAACTGAGATGACAAAAACGGGTGATACAGGACTGTCTCTAACAACTGGCACCAAGGTTTGTAAGTTAAACGTAGAGTAGAGTTGGCAATACATAATTAAAGTTAGGAGTCACAACTTCAGGGACAGCTAAGAAATTATTAGCAAACTTGTTCCACAAAAACATTCATTGCCAGGCCATGAAGGCACACACCTTGAATCCCAGCACTTGGGAGGCAGAGGCAGGGAGAGCTCTGTGAGGCCAGCCTGGTCTACAGAACAAGTTCCCGGACAGCCAGGGCTACACAAAGAAACTCTGCCTTGAAAAACAAACAAATAAACATTCTCACAATTTATGATTAAATATGGTGTTTGAAGTGTAGGCATAAAATGTAGTATTACAAGGCCAGCATAAAACATGAGATTAGGGGACTGGAGAAATAGCTTCATGGTTAACAGGCTTGCTGCTCTTACAGAGAACCTGGGTTTGGTTCCCAACATCCATATGGCAGCTCATAACCAGCCCTAACTCTAATTCCAATTCAGTTCCTCTAAGGTGGTACCTTTCTAATGGTGTGACCCTTTAATAGTTTCTCACGTTGTGGTGACCCCCCAACCATAAAATTATTTCGCTGTGACTTCATAACTGTAATTTTGCTGTTGTTCTGAACCATAATGTAAGTATCTGATATGTAGGATAGCTGATATTTGACCCCTGTGAAAGGGCCATGAGACCCCAAAGGGGCTACAACCCACAGATTGAGAACTACTGCTCTAAGGGGAGGGAAGTGGTACATAGTCATACATGTAGGCAAAGAAAATACACATAAACAGAAAATAAAAATCTCTTTTAAAAATTAAAAGTATTGGGGGCTGGAGAGATGGCTCAGCAATTAAGAGCACTGGCTGCTCTTCAAACAGACCCAGGTTCAATTCCCAGCACCCATATGGCAGCTTACAATTGTCTATAAATTAAAATTAAAAAAAAAAAAAAAAGAAAATGAAAAATGAAAAAGAAAAGTACTACCAGACGTGGTGGTGCACGCCTGTAATCCCAGCACTCAGGGAGGCAGAGGCAGGTGGATCTCTGAGTTCAAGGCCAGCCTGGCCTACAAAGCAAGTCCAACGAGTCCAAACAGCAAAGGCTACACCGAGAAACCAAAAGAAAAAAAAAGAAAGAAAAAATATTTGGAATTAAAAATTTGGAA